CAGGGAGCCCGATGTGGGACTCGATCCCAGGACCCTGGGATCATGACCTGAGCCGAAGGCAGACGCTTAACGACTGAGCCACCCAGGCGCCCTCATAGAACTCTTTCTACTTGATAAATTCTGTAATGTTCTCATTACCATTTCTTTTACACACTGACTTTTTATGAGTGATTTTCTTGTTTACTCAGCCAAACTGTGGAAGTCACTTGATGACACAGTTCCATAAATATTGATCATATAGGCTATTTTTAAAAATCACTGTATTCTAGGGCATGTGATGTGATGAGCACTGGGTATTATACGCAACTGATAAATTATAGAATACTACATCTGAAAAAAAAAATCACTGTGTATTCTAAATGTGATAGATCACCTCACCCAAGGGACTATTTTATCACATTAGAACTCAAACCTCAGCTAAGATGGGAATTTCACCTTTCTATGCCCACAAGTTTGGCAATGAAAGAAAAAGAAGAGAAGAGAGAGAAGAGAAGAGAAGAGAAGAGAAGAGAAGAGAAGAGAAGAGAAGAGAAGAGAAGAGAAGAGAAAGAAGAGAAGAGAAGAGAAAGAAGAGAAGAGAAGAGAAGAGAAAATAGAGAAAGGAAAAGCAAAGCAAAGCAAGGCCTGGTTAATAATAAACATATTATTAGCTTTTTTACTTTAATGCAGATTGACATGTCCAGAGAAGATAGTGATAAAGAGTACTAACATGTAATTAAGACTTTGCCCATGGGAATATTCCAGGGACCTATCTCCTTATAAGGCTCTCCCATCACTGCCTATATAGAATATGACTCTTTCCTTCCTGTTTGTACACCTATGGGGAAATAGATAAGAATGTCCACCTGCACTTTAAGGTATCAGAGGTAACAAGTGCAAAAGCTCAAGACATCAGTGGCCTGCTGGCTACATGGAGGACCAAGAGAATCAATACCCTGGCACCCTGTAATTGTACACTACTGTACCATTGCACCCCAGATAGAGAAGGACCAGAAGCGAAGAACTTATTAACAATATACAGATCTCTGCCTGATATTTAGGAACAACTTCAAGTCATACAATGGAAGTAATTGGCAAAAATCATCCTTGGCTGTGTATTTTTGAAGATTTCATGTAACAAAGGAGTGTGATTGTCAGATATTTTAGATAATTTCAGTAGTGCTGTAAAAATTCCTAGGATATATTGCATTAATCATATTTAAAATTAAGCTAACAAACAGAAGAAAATGTTTAAGAATGCATGGTTACCTATGCCTGTCTCCAAAAATATTACATTAAGGGAGAAGAGACAAGGCATGTATTTAAAATATATAACTAACAGTGCAAGATAATATAGACTAAGTATCAAATGAATAGGTTACATCAGACCTAGACAGGAGGGACTGTGGCTTCCCAGTTTAAGGAAAAAGACTTTCTGAAAAAAAGTAAATGTAAGCAAGATCTTGACTAGTAAGTAAAATTTTCAAGGTAAAAAGAAGGCAAGGCCACTGTATTCAAAATAGGCATGGATTTTTGTCTTTCCCCATTTATGTCTAAGACGAAGGAGTTATGTGTTCCTTTCCATTCAGATAAGGCAAAAGGAGTCATGTCTTATTTTGCATAAGACTGATGGCTTTTTACAAGGACTTTATATGGCCAGGTGCCTGGGTGGCTCAGTCGGTAAAGCATCCAACTCTTGATTTCAGCTCAAGTCATGGTCTCAGGGTTGTGAGATTGAGCCCTCCATCGGGCTCCATGCTCAGCAGGGAGTCTGCTTGAGATTCTCTCCCTCTCCCTCTCTCTCTCTCTGGCTCTTACTTTGCCCCTCCCCCCACTCCTGCTCACTCCCTCTCTCTCTCTCTCTCTCCCTCTTTCTCTCTCTCTCTGGGTTGCCCCAGCATATAATTTTTTTTTTAAAGGACTTTACATGACCAGATGTTCAACTACTACAAAATCAATGTTCATAAGTCTCCCCCACCATGAATGGAATATATGTGAGGAAAAGAAGGAAAAATAAGTGGAAGGTCACTTTCATTTCCCTACCAACAGTGATAGGTTGAGGTACCTATACTTCTGTGTTGGGGAGGTTATAAGCAAAGATGTAAGAGAAGTGTTGAAAGGATGTCCCAGAAGGAACAGCCTCTACTTTCTACAGAAATCCATTCATGGAACAGGGACAGTGCAGAGCAAAGAAGAATCTCCAGTGACTGAATTGGATAATTTGGTGTGAATACTTGTTTCCCCAACCATCCACTCATCATGTATCCCTTCATCTACCCACCCATCCATCCATCCCTTTCTTAGGTCTTCAGTCCAAACATCCATCCATCCATCCACTCATTTGTATCACTAAAATTGACTCTTTGGTTCAAATAATTAAAAATAACAATTACCTGTCACTCAAAGCTTCTCCCATAAGAAAATCAAAATTCTCCTTCAATCTTTTGTTATAATCTTCAGGTGGAAACCAAGAAATAACTTGGTATGATTTTTCCTTCTCTTTAAAATCTAAAAAACACCCATGGGTTAAAAATGTTAAGTATGTCACAAAACATGGATTAACATTAGCGTGATAAGATCAATATTTGTTTGCTCAAATAATTTTATATTTATTTGAATGTTTGCCTTTTGAACTATTTTTATATGGTTTGGTTGCATTCTCATTCATTCAATCTTATAAAATGATAACATGTATTGAGAACCTTACACTGATTAAGGAGTGCTTCTCAATTTAAAGTTATGGAAGCTTCCATTTATTTTTTTTAAGATTTATTTATTTGAGAGCGAGAGAGCACATGTGAGTGAGGGAAGGGGCAGAGGGAGAGAGAGAGCGAGGAAGAGAATTTCAAGCAGACTCTGCTGGGTGCAGAGGCCGAAGAGGGGCTCAATCTCAGGACCCTGAGATCATGACCTGAGGCGAAATCAAGAGTCATATGCTTAACTGACTGAGCCACCCAGGCACCCTGGAAGCTTCCTGGGATGGAGCCCCACATCTGGATCCCTGCTCAACAGGGAGCCTTCTTCGCTCTCTCCCTCTACCCCTCCCCCGTGCTTGTGCTTTCTCTCTCACACTCTCTCGCAAATAAATAAAATCTTAAAAAAATTTTTTTAAAAAGCTTCCATAAGGTATAGCTATTTGTCTCATTTTACAGATGAGAAAACAAAGGTAATTGAAGATACAAAGGTAATTATCTTAAGCAAATTAGGATAATTGGTGAAAATTGCACACATAGGAAGTGATAAAGTCTGTTTGATTCCAGAGCCTCTGCTCTTTCTGTTTTAGAAAAGCTCATTTTCATTATTTAGAGTGATAAATCCAAATCGTTTTTTGATTCAGTAAAAAGTACAAAAAAGTACTAAGAAGCTTACATAAAATAGTAGACCTCTGTACCTCTACTTACCAGCATGACTTCTCCCACATATCCATGTGTAACGAAAAGCCTGAGTCCATTTATGATGTTTGACTCCTGACAGTTTTCAAGCCCTATCTCCCACTCTCTCTTCAGTGTTTCACTTGGGCAAACTATTAAGAAAGTCAACATGCTCCTACCCTTGGCCATAGTGGAAGTTTCAAACCATGCAAGTAAAGACCAATGAGGGGGAACCCTCAACACATCTCAACTCTCTACCCACAATGAAAACTCAAACTAGTCATCCCTCCCTCCTCTGGAAAGCCATTTTTCAGATTGACTTAGGAGCCTTTCCTACTCTTCTTAAAATAATAATAATAATAATAAGCCTTATTATTTGAGTAATAAATATTCCATACTCTCTTATACATGTATGCTTTCATCAGTCATAACATCCAATCAAATGTGTGTAAACTGGGGATAGATTAATGCACAGTCTTACACATTGAAACTACCAAGCCCAATCCTAGTGAAAGTACTGCTATCCAAGTATGTTCTGGCAAATACTCTGCAATCATAGATTTGGCTAGTAGGTTCTTCAGTACCTATGTCAACAGACTCTCAACATCAGTTTGCCTTCACTTTGGAAAGGACACAGTGCACCTTTAACTAGTTATCCATGGGGTATTTCAACATCCTACCATTGGCCACAATTTTATTGGCAAAATCTTAACCACATCCAACTTTCACCAGGAGCCCAGGTAGGACATTATATTGAAAATATCCCACTCTAAGGAGATTCATTTGACATACTTATTCAGGACAGAGAAACATTCCCACAGGAGTACACAGAAAGGGATGTGCCATTGCCCCACACAAAGCTCAAGGCCTAGGACATCGGTTAAATTCCTAGGAATTATTTGATCATTTAAGGCCTCTCTATCCATGACACTATCAAGAAACAACTACTGGGCCACCTGGGTGGCTCAGTCGGTTAAGCATCTGACTCTGGCTCAGGTCAATCTCGGGGCCCTGGGAATCGAGCCCCAAGTTGGGATCCCCTTTGAGTGAGGAGTCTGCTTCTTCTTCTCCCTCTCCCTCTGCCCCTCCCACTGCTTGTATGTTATCTCTCTCTCTCTCTCTCTCTCAAATAAATGAACCAAATCTTTATTAAAAAAAAAGAAACAAATATTGATTCATAACACCACAATATCTCATGACGTCCAAAAACTTTTAAGCCTTTTTGCAATCTGGAGGCAATATATTTCTGATTTATACATTTTCCTTAAATCCATTTATACTTATTTTTGAAAATCAGCCCACTTTGAATAAGGCCAAATAACAAAAAGATGTAAAATCTGTCCAAACTACAATACAATACGCACTGTCATTAGTGCCCCCCACATTTGCATTCATTATAAAGGCTTCAGCAAACTCTTCCCATGCTTCCTGGAGTTCTCTAGACCACCTGTTGATAGCAGTATTAGTCTCCAATTTCTACTGTAGCAAATTAATACAAACTTATTACAAATTTATTATCTTATAATTCTGGAGATCAGAAGTCCAAAATGGGTCTCACTAGGACAAGAGCAAGTTGTGGGCAGGCCAGCATTCCTTTTGGAGCCTCTGAAAGACATTTTCTTGCCTTTTCCATCTTTTAGTGATTGTCTTCATTCCTTGGCTCATGGCCTCCTTTTGACTGACAATGACATCATCCATCATCTGACTTTCCTTCCATTATCACATTTCCTTCTCTTACTCTCCTGTCATCTCTCTTTTTTTTAAATCGGTTAATTAACATATAGTGTATTATTAGTTTCAGAGGCAGAGTTTAGTGATTCATTAGTTGCATGTAACACCCAGTGCTCATTACATCAAGTGCCCTCCTTAATGTCCATCACCCAGTTACCCCATATCCCTCCCACCTCCCCAATCATCTCTTTTTTTTTAGAAGGACTCTTGGAACTATATAGAGCCCAAATGGATAATCCAAGACAATATTCCCATCTCAAAATCCTTATGTTTATCACATCTGCAAAGTTCCTTTGCCATGTAAGGCAGTATATTCATTGGTTCTAAAGATTAGAGCATATCTTTGGGTGGGGACATTATCTTCTACCACCATGTTCTGCTTTCTGGACCTCAAACACTCATGTCCATATCACATACAAAATATAATCACTCCATCCCAACATTCCCACAAGTCTCAAACCATCACATCACTAATTCATAGTTCAAAATTTCATCTAAATGTCATTAGCTTGAATGTCCCAAATTATATTATCCAAATAATTCAATAAAGTATGGGTGCGACAATCTGGATACGATCCATCTGTGGACCTATGAAAATTAGGAAATAAGTTTATCTGCTTCCAAGAAACATTAAGATACCAGTTACAGATATTATCATTCAAAGTGGAACAAAATGGAAGGAAAATATGAATTTCTGGTCCTAAGAAATGTTGACATCCAACTGGGCAGACCATGTTAGGTTTTAAAAACTGGAAATAACCTGCTGTGACTTGAAGCTCAGCACTGTAAACTTGAAGTTCTACCCTTTGTACTCACTGCTTCACACTCAGACTTTTCATTTGTTCTTCATGAAAGGTAGCATAAGTTCTCAGCTAAATAGTTTACGAGTGTGTTTCTGAGTTCAATGACCTTCTTTCATGTCACTCTTTCTCTGTCCTTTTGGTCCAAATTGGCAGTATTTATCCTGTATAAAATTCGCAAGTACCTTATGGATCTTCTGGGTATATCATGGGAATTCACTCTGCTAGACAAGAGCTGCTACACAGATCTTTAAAAAGAATTTCACCTCTACTTTTGGCTTCAGCCAACAGGGCTGAGGGGACTCATGATTCACACACCCAATATTTAAAGAGCTCTGTGAGACTGAATATTCTGACCTATTCAGAGGCAACAGCAAGAGGTTATCCAGACACACCACTGGTTTTCTCTTTGCTGGCAGCAAATCCCCTAATTTTAGACTCTTTTGCAATCTGGATAGGCTGAGAATTTCCCAAATCATGAAGTCTTCATTTCTTTATGCTTAATGGTTCTTCCTTCAATTTATCTCTTTCCTCTCACATTTTACTATAAGAAGTAAGAAATCCTTACCATCTGTATTTTTACCAGAACTGTGTTTATGATGATTTACATATTGTCTCAGACAACACAGATTTTCTCTACCATGCTCCTTACTTCCTTCTTAGTCCTCATTAGCAGAGTTCTTATATTTTTTATTAAGACACAAATGACATGTAACATTACATTAGCTTCAGGTGTAAAACATAATGATTTGATATTTTTATATATTGCAACAGAGTTCTTAACATCCACATTTCTACCAATAGTCTCTTCAAGACTATCTAGACTTACTCTATCATGCTTCTTAATATTTTTCCAACCTCTATCAATAACCCAATTATAATGCCAGATATTGGTTGGAGCAGTAGTGTATGTGAATATTGAAAATCTTTGCTTCTTCAATCTGATATCATTTCTTTATTAAAGTAGTAAATAAATGAACAAGATGGGGAAGTGTGTCCAAACAAGGAGTTAATAAATGGTTCAAATGTTACAAGGCACTGAAATGGGCATCAGGCCAGAAATAATAACTCAATCATGTGTTTTCCCCATTTGCAGACATCTAGTCAAGCTCTATTCCTAAGGTAAAGAATTAATACGCTGTTTCAAAGCCTCAGAAATACCTGTGATTGGGGAATATTGGAAGAAACTCTACACTTTTAAACCTGGAAACTAAGGATAAAACTGAAGGGATCCAAACGAAGACACAAAAATGGCCAACAGACACATGAAAAAATGCTCGACATCACTCGACATCAGGGAAATACAAATCAAAACCACAATGACATACCACCTCACACCAGTCAGAATAGCTAAAATAACAACTTAGGAAACAGATGTTGGTGAGGATGCGGAGAAAGGGGAACCCTCCTACACTGTTGGTGGGAATGCAAGCTGGTGCAGCCACTCTGGAAAACAGGATGGAGGTTCTTCAAAAAGTTGAAAATAGAGCTACCATACGATCCAGCAATTGCACTACTGGGAATTTATCCAAAGGATACAAACATAGTGATTCGAAGGGGCACCTGCACCCCAATGTTTATAGCAGCAATATCCACAATAGCCAAAATATGGAAAGAGTCCAGATGTCCATCGACAGATGAATGGATAAAGAAGAAGATGAATGGATAAACAATTGAATACTATTCAGCCATCAAAAAAAGGAAATCTTGCCATTTGCAACGACATGGATGGAACTAGAGGGTATTATGCAAAGTGAAATAAGTCAGTCAGAGAAAGACAAATACCATATGAATTCACTCATATGTGGAATTTAAGAGACAAAACAGAGGATCATAGGGGAAGAGAGGAGAAAATAAAACAAGACAAAATCAGAGAGGGAGACAAACCATAAGAGACTCTTAACTCTAGGAAACAAACTGAGGGTTGCTGGAGGGGAGGTGGGGGGGTATGGGGTAACTGGGTGATAGGCATTAAGGAGGGCACTTGATATAATGAGCACTGGGTGTTATATGCAACTGATGAATCACTAAATTCTACCTCTGAAACTAATAAAAAAAAAAAACTGAAGGGATCCATGAACTCCCCAAATTGTTTATAGATTTTTGTGTACATATATTTATTAAAGGGGTAGAAGGTCTGAAGCTTTTATTAGTTTCTCAAAATTCATGGAAACTACCAGAATTATTTTTTAATCAATCTAAAATTTTAATTTAACTTAATTTCATTAAAAATTTTAATTAAATTTAATTGCAATTTTCAAAATTAAGAATAACTACCTTGAAAATAATACACTACAGCTATTTAATCATGTCTGTGGTCAACACAGATGCAAAAAGATATGTATATAAATAATGTTCAGTGATGAATGCAGAACCTAATCTAGAAGGTGATTTAAATGATTTTAAGTAGGGACTCAAATAGATATTGGTACACCAGTTTTCATAGCAGCATTATTCAAAATATCCAAAAGGTGGAAACAACCCAAATGTCCATCGACAGATGTCTGGATTAACAAAATGTGGTATATACTTACAATGGAACATTATACAGTCTTAAAAAGGGAAGGAAATTGTGATCCATACTACAGCATGGATGAGCCTTGAAGACATTATGCAACGTGAAACAAGGCAGACACAAAAAGACAAATATTGTATGTTTCTACTTAAATGAGATATCTAGAATAGCCAAATTATTGAGAAATAAAGTAGAATAATGGTTACCAAGGGCTGCCCACAAGGGGTAGTAGGCAGTTACCATATAATCAGTACAGAGTTCTCGTTTGTGATGAGGGAAATGTTCTAGAGAGCAATAGCAGTGATGGTTGCATAACAATATGAATGTACTTAAAGTCACTAAACTTAAAAATCAAATGTTTAAGAGGTCAATTTTATGCTGTGTATATTTTACCACAATAAAAATCTTGAAAGAAATTTTCACAGAAAAAATTGTTTTAACAAAATCTGAACAATAACAAAGCCTGATCACCTTCAAAGTTTTATAATTTTTCAGAATTTTATTCCCTGAAGATGCTGCTTAAAATTGCATCTTTTTTTAAATCAAAGCCTGAGAAAACTTCAGATTGAGCAATCCAGAGCTTAAAGTCCTAAATCCACCCAACACTATTATTAACCTGCCATATCACCTTAAGCAAACCATTTCAGTTCTCTGGGCTGCTGTTTTCTTGTCTTTCAACAGAAAAGAGTTGATAAGATTTGCTCATTTTAGCTAAAATTCATTGGATTCAATGATTCATTTAAGAACGTCCAACATCATTATACACAAACTGTTGACCAGGCATTGATTTTTCTAGAAAACAAAATCATCTCAGTGATAGATTCTGATCTTAGCTGGATAAATAAGGGATTTCTCAAGAAAGTTTTCTTAGATTTCAGATATCATACAAGGAGAAAGTGATCTATGATATAAAAAAAAGGAATCTGTGATATAAGAAAAGAAAATGGCATATTTGGCTGAACACTCTGTTCACATGCTTTCAAGCTGTTATGAAGTACCATTTACCAAAATAATCTGCAATATATGGAGGGTTGCTTGGGATGAAGTGGAAGGCAAGGTAAGGGGGGAAAATATGGGACTACAGAGTGTGGAGTGCTGGGAGATAGAGCCAAGAAGTTTTCCAACACCTTACATTAACACACACACAAACACACACACACACTTTTCATTCTTTCAGTCCAATTAGATTTTAAAAACAGTTTTCTAAGCAAAAGGTATTGTTTTACTCTACACTTTGCATAGAGTAGAAGAAATAAAAAAATGGTGAGAAAAGATACCTGATATTAATGAATTTCCTCTCTGGTGAAGCATAGTGACATTATGACCATGATCTTGAAGAATTTGAGACACCCGGTCCAGCAGTAGATGATGGCTTCCACCTAGGAACAATGTACAACTTCACTTTTGAAATGAGGATAATAAAATGCCTAAAGCTGATAGGTTAAGAGATCCAGGAGATGAGAATCAGCCGACAGAAAGCTGATGGTGAGTAGAGGAAGATGAGCTTCATCTCCATTTGGGTAAGCCCCAGCCACTCACCCAGGGCCCAGTGGCCCAAATCTTGACTTTGGCAAACCTCCATCAGATCCTCATTGTGACTCCAGTCACAAAAATGACCAAACATCAGTGTGACGAGCTTCTCTGCTTATGCCTTAAGGAATTCCTGATCCTAAGTATATGCTAATTTTAGCCAGGCCTTATGGAGATACTGTGCTCTAAAGAAATAACTGTACTTGTGTAAAGTGTGGCACAGTGCTCTATATGAGCGTGAAGGATTCCCAATGGACAATTAGTCAGAGTTTGTTCTGGAATCTTACTCTTTGGAAATCTATGCTAGTGTAGGAGGCAGAAACATGGGAACTTGAATATCAGTCCAAGAAAGAGCCATTGGACCAGAATGAAGCTGAGCCACCACTTAGAGCCAAAATCCTTGAGATTCAAATATACTTGGCAGGATGTTTCTCAGTTGGGGCCTGAATTTTGCTGAACATCAAATTAAGGCATTCCGAATAACTGTGGGCCCTTGAGGTGGAATTACAGGATCCTGTATGCATGAGAGACTGGGGCATCACCCATCCTAGGAAAATCCTGGGATCCTAAGGAAACAGAAGCTTGATCATCTGGGGAGGTACAGGTTCTATCACACTAAATCTTATCCAAAACCATATGAATCATGGGACATTTGGTTGAATCTATGAGTCTCAGTAGCAGAGAAAGTCAGACCAGGAGGGAAGGAATAGAATTTGCCCAAGTTGGGAAGTGGGAGCTGTTTGGGAGATGCAAGTCCCGGGATGACTGGGTCAGCAGGGAGGGATGTCGGACTACTGCAATGGTGTGTATCTGTGGAAATTACCGGAAATTACCCTAGTTTTTAAAATCTGTGCTTGTGTTGCCTGAGGTAACACGGATTATATAAAACACAAACTCCTACTCCCTCAGGCTCCCTGTTCTGGCTTCACATTTAACCCTTGGAAGAAAAGGATACGCGGGAGAAGCCAGCCCGCACACGCGGCCTTTCCTGAGGGTCTTGGTGAGCCCAGTGCATTCTGGGCCAGAGGTGGGGCTTCCAACGCCTCCAAACCACACCCGTTCCCTCTCAGAGTCCAGAGGACACACGCTTTGAAGAGGGGAGGGAGCTCTTTGGTATCACCAGTATTAACAATCAAAACGCGACAAAAAAAAAAAAAAAAAAAAAAAAAAAAAAAAAAAAAAAAAAAAAAAAAACAACTAAAAAAAAAAAAAAAAGAGTTCAAAAGGAGTTACAGGGTTTCTTAAAGAGTTTGTTGTTGTTGTTTTTTTTTTAAACCCACTGAAAAGTGCGTGAGACTGGAAGCTGTGGACAGGCTGGTCTTGGGATAAGAAACCCCAACTAAATTCCTGATGTGTGCCATTAGGGAGGCCTGGTGTGCTCTGACAAAAGGTGCCTGATGTCCTGACCCTTAGTTTCCTGTTCAGGAAAACACTGTGGGGGCTAAATGCGATTATTTATGGTTCTTTCCAGCTCTAAGATTTCCCCGATTCCCAGTGATCTATACACACTTACGTAAAAGAGCCCACTGTGGGTGGAAATACAATCTTGGGAAAGCTCCATCTTATGATAACCCTTTATCCTGATCCTTGTCCCTTTATCTTATGATGACCCCTTATCCTGATCCTTTTCCCTTTATCTCTTTTCCTTTTCATCTTCTATTCCCTTTGGTGCAAAAGTAAAGGAAGTAAAACTGGGGCCACAAAATGCAGAATTAACAAGTCTCCCGAATCCTTCAAACACTTCCAGCAGCACTGGTGAAAGGAGCGGGCATTGGCGAGACCCGAATGTCCAAGGTCCAGTCCCCAGCCCTGGCCAGTTCTCCAAGTTTCCTCGGGATGGATAGCACTCCACCCTCCTAGGTGTCATTGAAATACCTGCCCTGCTCCACCTTGGCTCCCATGCAGTGTCAGAAAATTAGTGCTTCTGCCCCCCATAAGCTCCTTTCCCTGGCCTCCAAGAGCCTGCACACGCTCCTACAGTCTCTATTGGCAATGGCTGCGCGCCACCCAGAAGTTTAGGGGGAGCCTCTGAATTTGCAGCCCGCTCCCTGGAGGAGGCAGCCCCGGGTCTCCAGCACTGAGAGGGATCGCAAACTTCTGGATCCATTTCCCGCGCCTAGGAGAGCAAATCTGAGTAGGAAGAGCGAGGAAAAAGTATTCTATTTTCTCAGGAAGTTTCTTCACCTCTCGGTGGTAGGGGCCCCTCATTTCCCCACAACCCCCTCCTGCCTCTTCCCCCTCTAGCCTGGGACCCAAGCCCAGTCTGGAAAACCACCTGGAGTGACCCTCTACCCAGAGCTATTTGACTGAGCCTTCCCGCGGGTGTCTGGGACGCGCCTGATTCTCCCGCCAAGCACTCACCCACCAAAGACAGAGTTAGAATTTTGGCGGCCTCTGAGAGCAGGAACCCAGGCAGAAGGAAGCCGGCTAGCAGCAGCGCCCGCTGCCCCGCCATGCTCGCTCTGCTGTGAGCCGGGGAGCCCAGCCCAGTGCGCTGAGCCCTGCGCCCCGCGCCTCGCACAGCGCAGCGACCTGTGCGCCCTGGGGACACGCTCCGCTCGGAGCCAAGGAAATGCTCTGGCGGGCAGACTGGGAAGACGTGAGAGATGGACCCCGCCTGTGTTCTCTTCCGTTTGCGGTTTCTTGCCCTTCTGCTCCACCTCCCAGGGTGCTTGCTCCACTGGCTAATTTGTCCTCACCCTTCCTAACCCCGGACATCGGGAAGGAGGGGTTAGTGAGCTCTCCTTAACCCCTCTCTGTCCGCGTAGTCACCACACTCTCCGCAGAGAAGGTACTCTGAACCAGGAATGCAGGGACCTTAGGAATTTGCTTCCAAGATAGTTCCACCTCCAGGTGACCCGCACCCATCCCCATTTTAGGGACCCTTCCACGAATTTTCCCACCTCCTAACTGCTCTGGTGACCTCATACGGTCATCCGCATACTCCATTTCCCTAGATATTTGCTTAAAATCTCTGAGACGCTACTCCCTGGAAGTAGTGTCTACTCCCTGGGAGTAGCTTGTGTCTACTCTCTAGAAGAAAACCCCCAAGAGAAGTCGACCTACCATTCCTGGATTGTGTTCTGAAGACCTCTTAAGGAGGTCATTCATTCATGAAGAGGTGCTAGAGTCCTAACTCCAGAAGTCCAAGTCTTTACCTGGAGGTTTGAACCTCTAAAGCTGAGATTATAATTCTGAATGAGAATTATAAAATAGGACTGGGAACCTTACCACAGTCTCCTCAGGCACCAAACTGAAGACATCTTGTAATTCTGCCTCTTTGTAATGTCAGCCCTGGCAAGGACAGGGCATGGAAACCCCAGAAGGCATCTTTACATTCTCTATCCCCAAAGCAAACCTCTTGTAAAGGTTTTCAGTGCAGCTTCCCTTACAGCCTGTCACAGGTAACAGAATTCTCTTTTCCAAGGGGCAGGGGAGGATAATTCTGTGAAAACTTTTACTTTCCTGATCAAAGAGCTATATTTCTTTGAAAGCTATATTATATAGCTTTCTGAGCTTTGACAAGAGTTTACAGGAAAGGCAAATAGAAAATGAAAGGATTTGTAAAGTACCCATTTTAGGTGTGATTCCAAGTGGTAGAGGCAGGAGAGAGGGAAAGAGGCTGAGAAGATACTGGACGTGGAGGCTGGAATGGTTCAGGCTCAGTGCTTCGAAGAGAGGCGTGACGAGGAAAGTGGCTTCAAGGCTTAAAATATGAAGGTCACTGTCCCAAATTACCCTGGGACAAAATCACAGAACAACCCTTGCTGACTGGCAAATAAAGAAGGCCATAAGGGCTGAATAAAGAATTCCAATTTTAGGAGGAAGCCAACGAGCAGGAATTTGCAACAAAATCAGCAAGTGGATATGATGTGGGGAACAGGAATTGCCAGAATCGGTGGGAATTTCATAAGAAATGGTAACCCCCCCCCCATACTTTGTCTCCTAAGGCTACACTTGGCATCAGGTCTTCTTCTGTTTCCTGGCCCCACACAGCCAGCTGACTGCCACACTCAGTAGTTTCCCACAGAGCCGCACATTGCCCAGGATGACCACCGGCAGGAACAAGATGTTGAGAAGGTACTGTTCATGCCGCGGCTGTTGGAAAGTGTGGGGCTTGAGGTGTGCTGCATCCCATCTGGAGGCTGTGATAGATCCAGCCCCCCAACCCCTTGGGTGGGACAGGAGGGAGACGGGGTAGGAGTGTCTGATGATGCTGGCAACCACTGCTGCTGATTTGTACCTGTTAGCAGAGACAGGGGTGGTGACAGCATTAGATGATAGGTTCTCACCAGCTTAGGCTAGACAGAGAAGGCTGCTTGTCAGGTAATTATAATCTGGCCCTGAAATTTACCAGCTGGGTGCCTATAAACAGTTTAATTTTATAGATTCTTGTATGCACAGAATCCAAATTAAGGCTGAAAGGTAAAGTTGTGCCCAAGTCAGTCCCTGTCTTCATGGAGTTCATGATCTACTAGACCAAAAGATACCCGTATGGTTTCTAAGTGTGCTCATTGCTAACAAAGCACCACTGTTTATAATCCTTTCAGTGGACAGAGCTAGGAAATATATGGTTATAGATATAGATAGCAAGATCCCATATTTATTTCTCTACTTATAGATGCTGAACCTATGTCTATTACCTAGGTACAAAAAATCAATTTATAATTTATACTGACAATCTCAATTCAATACATCACAGGGGTTGTTCTAATCTTCCCCATTTCCACATTTGTAATTTTCTTTTCCAAAAGTAAGAAACAACATCAATACATTTACTCGTTTGCTCAGTCCTATCATGCATAGAAAGTGAGGTCAAATATACTAACCCACACAACTGTGAAAAACCTACTCAATAGACAAGTTTTATTTGCAGTTCTTGTTGTCTTTAGACTGGATATACATAGTTGACCCTTGAACAGATGGATTTGAACTTCATGGGTCCGCTTATATGTGGATTTTTTTTTCAATAAATACGGTACAGTACTGTAAAGATATTTTCACTTACGATTTTCTTTATACATTTTCTTTTCTCTAGCTTATTTATGGTACATATTACGTACCATATGGCTTTTTTATAATACATTTATTTATAATACATATAACTTATACATGTAGTGTATGTTATACATGTACTAGTAATACATATACACCTAATATATAATACATATGACATACAAAGTATATGTTAATCAACTCTTTATGCTATTAGTAAGGCTTTTGGTCAACAGTAGGATATTAGTAGTTAAGTTTTGGGGGAGTCCAAATATATGCAGATTTTTTACTATGTGAGGGATTAGCACTCCTAACCCCATGCTGTTCAAGGGTCAATAGTACTAGCAAACCAAATTCAGCAGCATATAAAGTTGATTACACACCAATACCAAGCAAGAATTATCCCGGAATGCAAAGAGGGTTCAACATATGGAAATTGATCAGTGTAATATACCACATTAACAGAATGAAGGAAAAAACCCACATGATCACTTTAATTGATGCAGAAAAAGCATTTGACAAAATTCAACACCCTTTCATGATAAAAACATTCAACGTAATAAAAGCCATTAATGAAAAACCCACAGCAAACAGTGTACTCAATGATGAAAGACAAAGCTTTCTCTAAGATCAGGAACAAAGCAAGGATGCTTGTTTTTACCACTCTATTCCACATAGTACTACAAGTTCTAGCCTGAGCAATTAAGCAAGAGAAATAAAAGGCACCCAAATTGGGAAGGAAGAAGTAAAATAATCTCTATTCACAGATGACATGATCTTACTTGTAGAAAATTCTAAAGATTATACACACACACACACACACACACACACACAAACCTGTTAGAACGAATAAGTGAATTCAGCAATATAGCAAGAATACAAAGTAAGCCACAAAAATCAATTGCATTTCTATACTGACAGTAAACAATCTGAAAAGAAATCTACAAAACAATTCCATTTACAATAGCATCAAAAAAGAATAAAATACTTAGGAATTAACTTAGTCAAGGAGGTGAAAGACTTGCACAATCAAAACTGCAAAACACTGCTGAAAGAAATTAAAGAAGATACAAATGGAAACACATCCCATATTGGTGTGGAGCCATAACGCTGATCCTGCAGCTCCCTCCTTCAGCTTCTGTGAGTCCTGGGCCAAGTGCACATGCAGCTCTGTGATAAAGGGGCCAGCTTCTCTTATAGGTCCCCCAAGGCATTGAGGTTGGCGGTATGAGAAACATACACAGGTTCTAGTCATCCTTACAAGTCCCCGGTCATCCTTGCTGGTTCCAGTTTATTCCTGTTCTCATCTCATCCACTTTATTTTTCCTCGCATCCAGTCTGGCTGACTTAAATCTCAATACTAGAAGCTCATATGGGCTGTTCCACCTGCTACCACAGCTATGTAAGTTCTAGCCCCAATGATAAATCTTTTTTTCTACATAATTCATAGTGTTCTCTCTTCTCTGATCAAAGCCTGACCTAATATTCCTTTTCCCATTCTGTTTTACTAACCAAACCTCAATTTTATTTGGAATAAAACTTACAAACAAAAGGAAAGCCTCTACATTTTCCAACCTCTCTTGTAACTAGGAGTCATCATGTGACAGAGTTCTTATTAATGGAAGTTAAATGGGAGTCACTGAATAGTTAACAGCTTTCAAGGATGACATGCTCTATTAGGTTTCTATTTCCTGCTGTAACTAATTACCACAAACTTGGTGGCTTAATGCAACATGACTTTATTATCTTACCCTTTTGTAAGTTAGAAATCTGATGTTGGTTTTTTTTTTTTTTTAACATTTATTTATTTGACAGAGAGAGACACAGAGAGAGGGGGAACACAAGCAGGGGGAGTGGAGAGGGAGAAGCAGGCTTCCCGCGGAGCAGGGAGCCCGATGTGGGGCTCGATCCCAGGACTCTGGGATCATGACCTGAGCCGAAGGCAGACGCTTAACCGACTGAGCCACCCAGGCGCCCTCTGATGTTGGTTCCTAATTCCTAAGTATTTTATTCTTTTTTGATGCTATTGTAAATGGAATTGTTTTGTAGATTTCTTTTCAGATTGCTTACTGTCAGTATAGAAATGCAATTGATTTTTGTGGCTTACTTTGTATTCTTGCTATATTGCTGAATTCATTTATTCATTCTAACATGTTGGTTTTATGGGCTAAAATCAAGGTGTTGGCATGGCTGTGCCTTTTGGGGACCCTAGGGATGGATTCATTTCCTTGCTTTTTCAGTTTCTAGAGGTCCACAGTCCTTGGTCATAGTTCCTCTTCTGTCTTCAAAGCCAGCTACATTGCATCTCTCTGGCCATTCTTCCATGGTCACATCTCTCTCTCTGCCTCTCCTCTCCTTCAACTATAAAGGGCCTTTGTGACTGCATCGGGCCCGCCTGATAACCCACGGTAATCTCCTTATTTTAGGGTTTGCTGATTAGCA